GGATAACGGGATCGGGATAACGGGATCGGGATAACGGGATAGAAGAATAACGGGATGGGGATGGGGATCGGCATCAAGGGGTGCTCCGGCCCCCGGAGCTGTGCGGATGCCGTGGCCGCGCGGATCCATGGGGGTGGCAGAACCTCCGGGCGCTTCCCACCCTCCCTGATCCCGACCCGATCCCGGCCTCTTCCCTGCAGGAATTACGAGGCTCAGATCCGGAATTACCGGGGGCCCGACCCGCTGGAGCCGTGGGACAGGTGAGCGCGGCCCTGGCTCGGGGGGGGCTCCATCCCCGGCTTGGGTGTGCCCCGTCCCTGGGCCGGAGCTGACTCTGGGGCGCTCGCAGGTACCTGCAGTGGGCAGAGGGATCTCTCCCGCTCCAGGAGAAGCAGAGCCGCTGGCCCGGGCTCCTGGAGGAGCTGGTGAAGATGTTCGTGGGTGACAAGAGGTACCACCAGGACCCGCGGTTTGTGAGCTACTGCGTCAAGCTGGTGGGTACGGCTGCGCTTTTCTGGGAATTAAGCGATCCCGAGTGATTCACGCCGCAGTTCGGGACTGCAAAGAGCTTTGGGAGGAGGAGCAGGAGTTCTGATCCTCTCATCAGGTCCTGGCCTCAGCAGCTCTCATCCTCTGCAGAGCAGGCACATCGGAAGAAAGCAAGAATGTATTTTTTAAGCTGTGTAGCTTGGAGAGATTTGCCTTAACTTCTCTTATCCTTAGAAAATGATGTTTTCCTCCTACAATGACTAAGAAATTCTAACATTTTTTATTTTGTCTGCAGCTCCCTTGGCCGCTTTTGGAAACGCTGATGGCTTTGTGCGTTTGTGTTGTGCAGGCAGAGTTCATCTCTTCCCCTTGCCAGTACTTGGAGTACCTGCACGGGCAGGGAATCGGAGCCAAGACCTCGGATTTCTACCTGGCCTGGGCTCAGGTGCTGCTGAAGGAAGGCAATGTGCAGGGAGCAGGAGCTGTGCTCCAAAAAGGGCTCCTCAACCAGGCACAGCCCCGGGAGAGCCTGCAGCAGCTCCACTGGTAACTCTGGGGCTCCTTCTACTCCTTTACTCAGGACCCACAGCGCTTGTAATTACTCATAATTAACCGTGGGTGGCATGTGATTGGTTATTTCTTTTCCCCGTGCGCTTGTTTTTGATAAAGGGGGGTTTAAACTTAACAATGTTTCTTTGGTGTTGAATATTTGTTGGGTGTTTTGGGATGTATATTAAAAGAAAAATATCCCAGAGCTGAGTCTTGGAGTTGAGCATTTAATTCTGGGAAGCTAAATGCAAAAAAACAGAAGTAAAACATAAAACAAATACCCAATTCTGTTCTTTTGCTGCCTCTTGAAGGCTTTTTTAGTTTTCCAGCTGTGGAGGTGTCCATATACAGTAAAAATCATACTTTTCAGTGTTATATTTCATGGACTGTTTGTACAAGGAAATCCAAGATTGCTGGGAGGTGGGGAAGGGTGAGGAACAGGTGATTTTGTGGAAATAACTGAAGGATTTTTTTGCAATTTAGCTCCCTGCAGAGTTATGATCCTCGGAATCATCCTGTGCAAGGTGAGGATGAAGAGTCCTGTTTGATCTGTAGTTCCAATAAATTAATTTTTTACATCAATTAATGAGTTTTCTCATTGAAGAAAACAAATTCCCTGTAGAAACCACTTTATTTTCCTTCTTTACATGAAAAATTCTTAAGGGCAGTGTATTCAAAACAAGCTATTAATGTTCCAGCGCTTCAAGTTAATAAAAATTCACCAAGGAGCAAGCAATTTTTATTCATTAATGAGTAGACAAGACTTACATTTTCTGTCCTAGATGCTGTTGTTGTAAAACCACTTCAGACTTCCCACGCTGCAAATCAAATGGCTCCTCCAAAAGGCATTTCAAGTCCTAATCCCTGCAAAAACCAGGTAAATGATGAGTTATTTGGGAAAAGTGTTTCATGTAGAGTTGAGGTTGCTGAGCTTGGCTGAATAAGGGTAGAGTGACTGTATGTGGCGTATCTGAAAACTGATTTGGAGATGGAATTGCTGCTGTTTTCCTGCTCCATAGGAATGTTTAATCTGGGAAGCTCTGGGACACACTCAGTTGGCCTGATCTGTTCTCAGAGTAACAGGAACAATGCTAGCAGTGGGTTCTGCGCCAGCTGTGCTGCTTGAATTGAATTTCATTTCATTTCTTGGTGTTTTATTTCCCTGCTTTAGGCTCCAGATGCTGCTGATTCTCAATCCTGTGCTGCTGGAAAAGAAGTGTAAGTGGTGGGGTGGTCCTTTTAAAGTCCCACTGTGGCAAAACGAGCTCTCTCCTGGGACAAATCCCCCAACCTTGGCCCTTTCCTCCCTTTCCCTCCCAGGAACTACGTGACCTACATCTCCAAGTCCGAGGTTGCGCCGAAGCCGCCGTCGGGCGCCGCGGGGTGGGAGCAGGTCCCGGTGTACGACAAGAACCTGCTCCTGTGCGAGGGCTCCGAGCTCTCCTTCGAGGAGCTGAGAGCCAAGAGATACTTCAGGAAATATGAGCTCCTCAGGAGGCAGCAGGCACTGGGTATCCTCCCTTTTCCAGCTCTCCAAATGGCTGTTTCCTGGTTCAGCTCATCCCTCATTTCCAACGCCACGACGGTGGTGTCTCTCCTGAGAGTGAGCCACCAGCATGGCACACAGACCTTGTATCCTCATCAAATATCCTTGTTTAATCCTTAGAGGAGGAGAAGAAAGACTCCATGAGGAAGAAGGAGTCGGCAGTCCTGGAACTCCAAGCCCTGCAGCAGAAGCTGGACCAGCTCACCCAACTCTCCAGAAGCCTGGAGGGAACGAGACTGGAGCCAGCAGCTGAGCCAAGCCAGAGGCTGGTGAGTGGGCTCTGGGATGGACAGGAATGCTCTGCTCTAGGCCTATCCCACAAAATCCAGCCACGCTGTAGGAACCAGGCTTGGTTGTTAACCCATTCTGGAGGTTGAGGCTGCAGTACCTGTATGGAAACCTGGCACAACTTGTAACACCCAGATTTTAAAGGTTTCACCCCAAAGCATGGCTTTGCTCCTCCACAGTTTAGTTTGAGATGCAGCTGTAAGTTCTCTTGGGTTCTGGGCATGTGGAACAAACAGGAACAAATGGGAATGCTGGTACTTGGGTGGAGGGAACCTAAAGTTTCTGTTACATTCTGGTCATGTGGAGATGGTAGAGAAAACAGGAATGGCTG